GGGTGTCCGGCTATGGTGGATGGGTGTAGGTGATGGAGGTTGAAGAAGGGTTGGGGTGTCCGGCTATGGTGGATGGGTGTAGGTGATGGAGGTTGAAGAAGAATCGGGGTGTCCGGCTATGGTGGATGGGTGTAGGTGATGGAGGTTGAAGAAGGCTTGGGGTTTCCGGCTATGGTGGAGGGGTGTAGGTGATGGAGGTTGAAGAAGGGTTGGGATGTCCGGCTATGGTGGATGGGTGTAGGTGATGGAGGTTGAAGAAGGGTCGGGGTGTCCGGCTATGGTGGATGTGTGTAGGTGGTGGAGGTTGAAGAAGGGTTGGGGCGTCCGGCTACGGTGGACGGGTGTAGGTGATGACTCGCTTATCCCACGGTCCGCGACCGATCCTATTCTGCCGCCCAACTCCCTACCTCTTATGTCTCCCTCGTAGGTCGTTGGTCTTGCCCACACGTGCCCCTCCCACCCCTCTGCCATAGTGGAGGCAGCCTTTTCAGAATCTTATAATTTTCAAGAGAGGACGCTACAAGAAGTGACCCGTCGATACTTACTCAAGCAGTTAGAGCAGCAGAATGGTAGTGTGCACGGCACCCTACCCATGCACATGGAACAACAAACTGACAATGTGCACCCTACCCGTGCATATAGAACAACAAACTGACAATGTGAACCGCACCCTACCCGTACACATAGAAAAACAAACAGACAATGTGAACAGCACCCTACCCCTGCACCTAGTACAACAAACTGACAATGTGAACAACACCCTATCCCTGCACCTAGTACAGCAAACAGGAAATGTGAACAACAGCCTACCCATGCACCTAGAACAACAAACTGACAATGTGAACAGCACCCTACCCGTGCACATAGAACAACAAATTGAGAATGTGAACAGCATCCTCCCCATGCACCTAGTACAGCAAACGGACAATGTGAACAACACCTTACCCCTACACCTAGTACATCAAACTGACAATATGAACAACACCCTACCCCTGCACCTAGTACAACAAACAGACAATGTGATCAGCAACCTACCCAAGGGAATGCTCCCCAAGGTACCCCGGGATGAAGCGCCCCACACACACTCGTCAGGGATAGCATAAGGATAAGATTTGAAGTATCCTATGAAGAGGACACATCACCGAGGCATCCCGAAGTGAAGCGCCACCATACATTCGTCAAGGTTGGTGAAAGCTCAAGATGGGAAGTGCCTAATCTACCGGAAAATTCACGGAAGTCACCCAAGGTAAATCGCAACCCATACATTCATCAAGATCAGTGAAAACTCAAAATTTGAAAGCATCTAATCAAGGGGAAACATCACGGAAGTTTCACAAGGTGAATCGCAACAGGTACAGGCACCCAGAACAGTGAAAACTCTGGATTGGAAGCATCTACCCAAGGGGACACATCACGGAAGTATCACCAAGTGAATCTCAACATGTACAAGTCCCTACATCAGTGAAAATTCAAGATTGGTAGCATCTACTCCAGGGGAGACATCACGGAAGTATCACCAAGTGAATCGCAACATGCACATGCACCTACATCAGTGAAAATTCAAGATTTGAAGCACCTACTCAAGGGGAAACATCACGGAAGTATCAAAAAGTGAATCGGAACATGTACATGCACCTACATCAGTGAAAATTCAAGATTTGAAACATCTACTCAAGGGGGAACATCACGAAAGTATCACCAAGTGAATCGCAACATGTATATGCACCTACATCAGTGAAAATTCAAGATTTGAAGCATCTACTCAAGGGGAAACATCACGGAAGTATCA